TATCGAATTCGCAGTTGAAGAATTTTTATCTTATCTTACTTTTTATGTTGTTTGCGGTGCATGATCTGTAATTGTCCTTACCAAATGTCTAGCGGCGCAACGTGTGGGATGAAATTTACATCGTTGCACGTTAATTAGGTCAGAGCAGAATTTAGACTCGCGATTTTAATAAATTCCATTCCTCGTAGATCATAAATACCGTCATCGTCGTTAACGAATATTATTAATGCAAGGAATAATTTTTGCCGCTCGCGGTTATTGATTTCCCGCGACCCCTCGTAAATCCTCGGGAGCACCGAAGCCTCATTCAAAACTCTCTCTTTCTCTCTCTGGCGAACCTTTATTTTAAGCATGACACATAAATAATGGACGCGCGCGAGCGCAAAGTATAAACCGGCTGTAAAACATGTACGTACACATGGAGGTATCGAGAGCACATTGACAATAGATTATATGGATCATAAAGAAGAAAAAAAAAAAGTCAAGAGAACGATGTAGAAGAGGTCGAAGATCAGATTGAAAGGGACTCTGATTCTCGCGAATAGGATTCCCCGAGCCTTTTTCACGAAGAAACGCGTGATTCCCCGTATGCGCATAGACGACATTGGAAATTCGATAGGAGGAGGGTACACGGGGCTGGGGAAAAAAATATGTGTACGTAGGGTGCGAGTCGCGTGAAAAATCAAAGAGCCTGATTTGCCTCAGCTGCCGACATGAGAGTCGTACGTCAAACGTGAAATGTTATTTATTGGCAGCAGCTGACAGTCGAGAGCATTACTCTCTAAGCGCTTGTAGCTGGGCCTGTATGGTACACGAGTATGCATACATGAACTTCGGCCCCCTATAACTTTACACTTGCGAGCATTTTTCTTCTTTTTTTCTTTTAGAGGATTTGTTGAGGCTAAAGAATTAGCGTGTACAAACTGCTTTTCAGAAAAACATTTTTTGCTGATTCTACTGACGGTAGTCATGATTCTTTGCAATAAATCAACTTTCAACACAAAAGAAGTCAGCTTTGCTCAGCATATAAATAGTGTTAATTCGATTAATTAGGCCGAATGGTAGGGTAACTCAGATCTATGTTGGCAAAGGTGATATTAAATCGATCAAAGAACGGCAGGCTAACGAGAAGAATTAATACAAATAAAGACTAGCTGAGGGCTGTGTGTTGATAACTTTTTTTTGTTCATAGTACTTTGACCAACCTTACACTACTATCATACATTTTCAAATCTTAAGCATCAAATTGCTTCTATCTAATTAAGTCTTTTTAAAAATCAATACTCAAGATGGGTGTTTAAAACATTTTTTTTCATTGTTTGAGAAAATTTATACATTTTCTTAGAACGCTTGGAACAGATATCCTCAACTTAACCTTGTACAGAGTTGAAAATGATAAGTCGAGTAAGGTTTTTTTCTAGCAGTTACAGACATTCGAAATACTAGGCTCAGCCACGTGTCGTTACAGTCTCCAGAAAGATAACTCCTTACACTCGTTGATTTAAATATTGGTTATACCGCTGTTTGAATGTCGAGTTGTACTCTCTTTACTCGTTTTATATCGTGACGTTAATTTTTTTCCTTCTTCACTCCAACTAGTTATAAAGGAAAAAAAAACTAATCATTACACTTAACAAACATGGGTAGCAATTATTCGATAATAATAGTACATAATCGTGTATCTTAACATTTTACATTTAACAACCTTAAAAATACTCACACTCGATTTTAGATTCGAGTGAGTAATACATTTGGACAACATCCATCGTTGTTTCTACAGCTGTAAACCTATCGAGATACTTACCTCTGGCCTACATCACGTTTTGTATTCTCCAGCAAACCCCCGATTGTTCTTCGACAACCCCCTTTTATTTCGGCCTTCTTTTCTTTTCAATCACCCATGCCTCTGCAAAGTCTCAATTCTTTATTCCTGACATTCTTCCCCACTAAGGTCGATATCCCAGCACTCGGTCATGTCCCAGTAGTCGGTCATCTGGCTGATTTTTTCACCATAAATTTTCAAAACATATATAAATCGGGTAGCTATTCAGACACTAAGCACTAAGCAATTACTCTTTCTATATAAGTTATTGTATAAACCCAATTGAAAATATAACGAAGGCCCGTAAAAGAAAAAAAGTGACCGACTATTGGGACATTTCGTCTGCTTAAGTGAGCGAGTACTGGGACATCCACCTTACATTTTTTTTCTCCTTCCTCACACTCCTTTCACTACTAAACTGACTCTTTAGTTGGTAAGCAGAGTCCAGTTAAAATAATAAAGATTCATCCTCACCATTGCAATGAATAACGCACGAGACGTCCATCTTCCACCTCACGACTATGTCAATGTGTTGTATAAATAATAAGTTCGATGATAACCTGCTGCTCAAAATTCTAAACAAAATAACGAAGTTTAATAAGCTTGCCGTGATATATCACGATAATTAAAGCGCCGGTGGAGCGGCGTAAATGAAATATATCCTAATACGGAGCAGGTAGTCCCGGGGACAGGCCAAAAAGCTAACGTTAAATCAAAAAACCACAAGACTCGCGGGGGAAGCCGGTCCGAGGTCCAGAGCGTGAAACACGCCTTTTATTACCACCAACCGGGCGCTCCCGCGACTGCAGTGACTCAAAATTTTCCTCCGATAAAAACTCTGCGGCGAGTGCGCGCATCTCGAGGTGTATTTCTCTTGACTGCTGCTACTGCTCTCCCAGTTGCCAGGGTTTCCTTTGCTGTCACCAATAAGTCAAAGTTATCCTCTCGAAGAAAAATACCAGACGTTCGGAAAAAGAAGGCTAGCTCGCGCACTGCTGTAGCTGCTGTTGGTGATTTGTGGAGGCTAGCTACTGCTGTTGACCATTGCTGCAACGAAACGGTCAGTCGTAAATATCCACGCAGGGAAGGAGTAGAGAGAAGAGATCTATGTACCTCTGCATGGAAGAAGCCACACCAGGTCCACAACCTTGTCGTCATTGTCGCGGTGGGGATAGACACATACCTCTAGATTATACACACAGATCAATTGAGATAAAGAGAGGGAGAGAGCAAGGAAAAGTGCCCAGCATCTTTTCATCAAGATAAGTGGATATGGGAGATAGAAGAGAGGAGAGAGAGAGAGAGAGAGAGAGAGAGAGAGCTAGAGAGAAGGAGAAAGTGACTTGAAAAATCTATTAAACTGCATAAATAAATCGTTTATAAAAAAATTCACAGAAATTAAAGCCTATTAACGTAGAAAGATACGTAAAATAAAAAAATAGAAATTCCGGTTCTCTTTAGTACGTAGGTACACATATTGTATAGATTAGATAAAATAAGAGAACGAGTTGTTTAATAACGCGTGTAGAAAAATTAAAAGAAAACACTCTATCAAAAAAAAAAACTTTATATGTTTGACCTACACCCCTACTCATTTGTCTAATGCAGCAACAGTGCGTCACTGATTTCAAATTTTTTATCGATAACTAGCTCACTCACGTTACTTACTAACAAAAATCGAGCTCAGTTTTATTTTACACAGTTTATCACATTGATTTAAATGGCTATTGATTATGACAAAAAAAAATGATTAAAAAAACTTTTCAAACTAGAAATTTAATAAAAATTTTATTAGATGGCTATCAGATAAGTATCAGTGTTATTAGTATGTCGCTGAAAAATTATGAATATAATATATTTTATTTTCATTAATTTAGCTTTATTTATTTGATGGAGCTTACTAGTAGAAAACATAACCAACGTTAAAAAAATTATTAAATAAAAATTGTGAAATCATCTGCATATATTGGCCCTGCAACAGCCTACTCTTTAGTAATTTTTGGAAAATATTTTCTTAAGGTCAATTGCTTAAATAATTATTTAATTTTTTTCAAGCGACATCATTAAAAAAGATTTCTTACCTTAATACAGCCCATGACCTTGTAACTGTTAAAAACGATTTTTCATTTTGCAAAAAAAATTAAAATATGACTAAACTATTCTTGAATTTTATGTAACAGTGGTGGCTCAGAAATAAAATAAGCTTTTATTTGCAGGTGTGCTTTAGTATACACATATGATTTGTAAAAAAATGTTTCCATCCTTAGTCTGTCGTAATAAATATTATTAATTACTGCCATTTGACTTTTTCAATCAGACTGCACTATCGTAACCGTATCACAGCTTATCTCGAAAAAGCAAGCAAACGATCGTATCATGCAAATTAAAAAAATTTTATTACGTGATATCACTTTCTCATAATGAATGAAACAAAAGAAATGCAATATATAACGAGTGAAACCGACTGGTTTCCGCGGTCAAGAAAAAAGAAATTCAAGGAGGCGAAGTTAACGTTTTTTTTTTAAATATTTATTAATACCGAGGGTATATAATACAGCTCGACGTCTCTCAAGAGAAAGAATCAAAAAACAAAAACTGCCGCTCGTTTTCTAGTCTTTTTATACCCGAATTTTATAACAAAATTCGTTGCCAAGGGACTGTTCGTTGTAGAAGAGAGAGGAAACCAACCGTCCCCTTGTCCCACATTCAACTATTTTACCCGCGTGCGAACGTCTCTCGATCACGTTTGTGAGGGGAAAAATACCTCCTACCCTCTTTCCTCCCCTCACCCCGTGCTTTCGACATCAGAGTCGATACGCAGCCTTGACGGCACCACCTCTCCTCGCCGTCAAGCGTACGAACATCGTCACAACCATATACAATATATGTTGTGTTGAGACGTCCCCACGTACCTCCTTTTTTCTAAAAACATACTTAAACGGAGCATGAACGAGAAGACGAGCGTTTACAAATTACTAAGCGCTATCGTCGGGAACAACGAGTAAATATGGTAGTATAAAGCATATTCCATTTAAAAGATAAAGCACAAACGATTTTATCATCCCTACCACTTTATTTACTTTATTTAATCATCAATATTAAACGTTGTACATATACGACTACTTATCCAGTGAAGAGCATCCGATCGTCAGTTTAATTCAAACTCTGGATTGTACCGCTTAGTTTATACCTTGGTAGATAATTTTTTTTTTTAAAAAGAAAATAAAGATCCAAGAAACTTGTGAATATTACCGATATGAGTGTATTTTAATTTGCAACTAAATATATACAAATTTTCTACAGAGAAAATGAAAATCACCATCTTATTGATAGTACTCTTCACACTATCCTTGGCATCAGAAAGCCGTGCTTATAGAATACTTGCAGTGTTTCCATATAATGGCAAAAGTCATAATATCTTTTTCGAAGCATTAATGAAAGGTTTGGCAAAACGTGGGCATCAGGTCGATGTTGTTACACATTTTCCACTAAAGAAGCCAGTGAAAAACTATAATGATATAATCAGTCTAGATGGAACCTTAGAAAGTGTCATGAATAATTTTACAATGGAATTCATATCGTTTATGAATGATGACTCTACGAATGTGATTTCAAATTTGTATGGAAATAGATTGTGCAGTTTTTTGGGACTCGATAGTATGCAGAAGCTGATGAATAATCCTCCAAGGGATCCGCCTTACGATATTGTAATAGTTGAGGTAAGGTTTTAAAAAATTTTTAAGATTAAAGTTCAAACACAGTTTGCAACACCTACTAGAAAAGCTCATTATTGTAATTTACGTAGGTAGTATTCAAACCAGATCAATGCGCTCATAGAAGATTGTTTTTTAGCGTTAGAAAATGAAGATACAAGTATTTTTTTCAATAGATTTAAATACGTAAAGCTACAAAAAAAAATCTATTTTGTTACGTCATTAATAGTAGATAATTTTTTTTTAAATTTGTACATTTCAAAAAATGAAAAATAATGCACATTTTTACATTTTTTTTAGGCATTTACTGCTAACTGTTACTTTGGTCTTGGATACATTTTCAAAGTTCCCGTTTTAGCTGTTTCTACGGCTGCCGAATTTCCCTGGATAAGTGACTTTATTGGCAACGACGATAATCTTGCATATGTACCAAATACTTTTTACCACTCAATTGGCGAATTAAACTATTGGGGTCGTGTCGAGAATTTCGTTACATATTTTATGGAGTTGCGAAAATACCACTCTGCTACTGCTAAAATCCAAACAGAAGCTATGCGAAAATATTTAAGTTCGGATATACCTGACATCAGAGAAGTGGAGAAAAACGTCGCACTTACCCTTGTTAACAGCAATCCGATTATTTCTGGAATCAAACCAATAACACCGTCACTAGTACAAGTAGCTGGTTTGCACATAGAAGAAAATGATGAAACCTTAAGTCCAGTAATTGTATAATTGTTTATATTTAATCTGTCACTTATTTTTTTCTCTTACCGTGAGTAGTTCATTGATCTAGTAGGGGGATCTAATGATTTCCGTACGAAAGGTAAATCCTTTCTTGTATTTTATTTACTTTTTTTTTACACCGTTACATTACCTTGTACTCTTTTCCTAAATCGAGTCACTAGTAAAGAGACTATCATAAAACCCAACTTTTCCGGTAAAACCATCTTTACCTCGAACTATTCTTACCTCACCTACATTTATCATTTGTTATGTGAAAGTGTTGAAAAAATGACGATTAGAAGGTAGAATAACCATCAGCTTATCTATTTGGCTGTCAAACATGAAAATTATAGATATAGATTTCGATAACCCTCTACATAACGTACATATCATATTTATACACTTAATCGCCATCAGATGCAAGCTAATCACACTCGATCTCTCTGACTGTTATTTTTTAATACTTTCTCATTACACAAAGGCTTTTCAAATTTGCAGGGCAAACAAAAAATTAGAAACATAACGTGGAAGAATCTCTTTTGAAGAAGCCGTTGTATGGGCTTAAAAAATTAACCAGAGATTCTACTCTTTACCCCTAACTGTGTCTCTGTGACAAATGCATTGAATTCTGACCCACATTAAATCTTACCAATTATAAGTCATGGTTTCTGAGTCGGAAACTAAGTGCAATTACTTTTAGGAATTGAAAGAGTGGATGGATGAAGGTAAATATGGAGTGGTGTACTTCACGTTAGGATCCATGGTTTTAATGGAGACAATGCCTGTTGAGCAGTTAAAAGGTATTTTTTCGGCTTTGAAAAAAATAGCACCTATCAGAGTATTAGTCAAAATAGTGGATAAATCTAAACTACCAAGTGGGCTACCAAAAAATGTGAAAACGCTGCCTTGGACTCCCCAGATACCACTTTTGGGTGAGAAGTGTTTTTGGTTATGAAATTTTTTGATAATTGAAATTTTTATTAATTTTTTAAAGATTATTATGTTTAAAATAAATGTAATTAGATTATAAACGACAAAGTAATTACTTTACGAAATAAAAATTAAATTAAATTTAAAATGCGTTTAAAGCTCACCCAAATTTAAAGTTGTTCATCACACATGGTGGACTAGGTGGGCTTATAGAAGCTTTGCATTTTGGAGTTCCCATGATTGGGATTCCACTTTTCTCTGATCAGTTCCGCAACTGTAAACTATTTGTTGCCAAACAAATGATGGTAACAATCAGCTTGGAGAAATTATCTGAACAAACTCTTGATTCTGCTTTACAAACTGTACTGTATGATCCTATTTACAAGTATGTATTGAGTAGAATATTAATATTTTTGGTTTAGGTTTAAACAGTTGACTAATGTAACGTAATTTTGCAGGGAAAAGTCTGTGTACTACTCTAAACTTTTTCGGGATCGGCCAATGAGTCCAATGGATACTGCCAATTTCTGGATTGAACACGTTATCCGTAACGGTCCAGTTTTGCGATCTCCTGCCCTCAAATATACTTGGTGGCAGCTTGCTCTACTCGATGTTTACGCATTATTTTTATTTTCATTCATTCTTGCTCTCTTATTGGCTACTTTTATAATACGAATGATTTTAAAAACAATTCTCAAAATGGTCAGTCGTAATTATCATATCGAAACTAATAAAAAAAAAATTAAGTAAAATTTGTGGTGAATAAATCATATGGATGATACTATTGTATTTGATTGTACTTACAATACAAAAATTTTTAATACTGCATCTTTCACTGATACAGTAACGTTGCATGCACCTAATTGTACTGTTGAAGTAGTTGTTTTTGTCAGATGCACCACACAGACATAACGTTTTTGCAAAAATGTGCGTCATTACACTTAATGAATGCCGAATTTTCTATTATTCCATCTAATATTGGAGTTTGTACTCTATACCTAAGCTCCTATTAAAAATGCGTAACAAACGACTTCCTTATTGTTGTATTCCATAACTTGCCGTCAGAAAGTTTTTGATCTGTGATAAGAAAAGACGTTCCACGAGGATCAAAAAATTCGCTAAGAAAAAATAAATAGTTTTATCAGAATGATTTACAATTTTTTTTATTTATATTTTCGTTAAATTTTTTGTCTTTGTTTATTAATATTTAGATTTATTGAAGTGACTGTGTTTTCAAAAGAGAGAAAGCTTTCAAAATGTTACAAAAGACATTATTCTTTTTACTTTTTATCATTACTAGTCTTCATCAGTTCAGTGCATATAGAATATTAGGGATTTTCCCATTAAATGGACGAAGTCATGAAATGATGTTTGAATCTCTCATGAAGGGTTTAGCAAGACGTGGCCATCAAGTTGACGTTGTAACACATTTTCCTCCAAAAAATCCACCAAAAAATTATAAAAATATTATCAATCTATCGGGCACAATGGAGAGTCTTGTCAATAACTTTACAATAGATTTTGTTTTGGGAATGGCTGACGACGTTGGAACTCATGTTGCCACTGTGTATGGCAACAGATTATGCCATCTTATGGGTTTAGAAGAGATGCAGAATCTTTTGAAAAATCCACCATCAAACCCACCTTATGATGTTCTCATTACTGAGGTAATATATATGTAATTTTCTCTGAATATCAATCTTTTTTTTTTTTAATTGTTATTCTGCACTAAGCAATTAAAGTATAAATAAGTTGTTTGATGTATAATGAACCAGCTAGATAACTCTTTTTATAAATAAATGTAGCAAATGTAACTTAAATCAATATTCACTTTGTACATGTATAAAGTGATAAATCTTTAGCATTTACGTTATTACCATATTGTGAATTGATGATTTATTATAGTCGCGGTGTTTTTGTTACCAAGTCAATTCATCCAAACTATAATCAAGTAATATAAGTGGTTGTCGTACAAAGCAATTGTATGAATAAGATGTAAAATATAAGATTGATAAAGTACACTACATGTACGTACAATAACAGTTAATTAACGGCTGGATATATGAAAATATGTTTTGCAGGCTTTTGGAGCAAATTGCTTTATGGGTATAGGACGCCACTTAAATATCCCAGTGATTGCGGCCTCATCAGCCATAGAATATCCTTGGGTGAGCGAATTTACAGGAAATAACGACAACTTAGCTGTCGTGCCTAATGCTTTGTACATGGCGTTCGGGCAAATGAGTTTTTGGCAACGTCTTAAAAACACACTTGTATACCACAATGAAATACGTAAATTTCAAAAATTAACCGAACACCCACAGACTGAGCTTATGAAGAAGTACATAAATTCTAGTACGCCGAACATTAGAGAAATCGAAAGAAGCGTGGCATTGACTTTGGTAAATAGTCATCCGATTATTTACGGTGTTAGGCCAGTTTTACCGACCGTTGTCGAAATTGGAGGCTTACACGTTGAAGAAAGTGAATCAACACTACCACAAGTAAAGTTTTGATTAATATGCGTTTCACTCCATTTTGAAATGTATTTTCTGTCGAATGAATGTCTATCTTGTATTTCTAATGGTAGGATTTAAAGAAATGGATGGATGAAAGCAACAGTGGAGTCATTTACTTCACTTTTGGATCGATGGTATTGGTTGAAACACTACCAGAAGCAACATTGAAAACTTTATACAGATCTTTTGCTAAAATTGCACCAGTACGAATATTGACTAAAGTTGCAGATGAAAGCAAATTACCGCCTGGATTGCCAGAAAATGTTAAAACTTTACCTTGGATACCACAACAAGCAGTTCTAGGTAATATGGTTTTGTATAAACGTTTTGATTAATGTCAAAATAAAAAAAATAAAAAATCGTGGTGCAGTTCAAAACAAAGTAACAATATTTATTTGAAATTTAGAAGATCAACTGAGGTATGGTTATTAAGTTATTGATCGAGTAAAGAACTAACAGCTTTGTCATTTCTACACTAAATTTCATTATAATAAAATAAAAAAACTATTAAAAATTTTGAAATAAATTGTCATTTTACAGCTCACAATAACACTAAGGTATTTATGACCCATGGCGGGTTAATGGGAAGTCAGGAGGCACTTTATTATGGAGTACCAATGATTGGAGTTCCATTGTTTGCCGATCAACCTCGAAACGTGGAGGCTTTTGTGGCGAAAAATATGTCCATAAAGCTTCCATTGGCAGATTTTTCTGAAGAAAAGTTGGATGCCGTTTTTAAAGCCATTCTTTATGATCCAAAGTATACGTAAGTAAATCGTGTAACAAATAACTCAACAAGTGGATTTTTAAGATCAATTAACGTATCTGTAATATTTTTTACAATAGGAAATATGCAAAATATTACTCAAATCTATTTCGAGATCGACCGATTAGTGCAATGGACAGCGCTGTGTTTTGGGTTGAGTATGTCGCAAGAAATGGACCTAACGTACTGCGGCCACCTTCTTTGACCCTCACTTGGTGGCAGCTAGCCTTAATTGACGTTTACGGATTTATTTTTTTAGTCTTTATCGTAGTTAAATTCATGTTATTTTGTGCTATTAAGTTAGTCATACAAAAATTATTATCATACTTTGAAACAAAGGAGAGCACAAAGAAAAAGTTATAAATTATCTTAAATGCTATTATATTATTTTACTATGTACGTCATTCGAGGTCAGATAAAAAATATTTGAGTTTAAAAAATAAAAATAAAAATTTTTAATCATCAGTTATGTGTAAGCGTTTTTTTTACATAAAAACACGTATATAACAATTCAAATCTTTTTTTATTCTACCATTTAAAACTTTATACGAACCATTAATTAATAAATAAAATAATTGTGTCTGCTCCACCAACTCGTTCTCCTTTCGTAATGGTTATCTAATCTTGATACCGTTCAGATACACGAGATCTTATCTACTTATCTTTTCCTCTGCTACTATCTCGTCTTATACCATCGCAGAAATTAAATCATGATGTTATGATGTTCGAAGTGAGTCTGAAATCACAAGTCGCGTCAGAGCCAAGCATCGCTAATTGTAAACCAGAAGCAGCGTGTGCAGTTCACGTGGTATGTCACAACTCGTGCGTTACAACGACAGCCTCGAGCATCTCTTTCGCTCTCGTGTGGAGAGCTAGGAATGCTTCTTCTACCGCAACGATATGCGATGCGCTGCGCTCAGTTATTCAGTGTGTTGTTTCAGCCTACGCATTAATTAGTTTCTCGGAGTCAGCCGGTGATGAAACAGACGAACACATTCAGTCCAACGAAGTTTGTTCGATGTCTCAATTGAAGTTTGATTTTTAATAAATATTCACGAGTTTTGTGTTCCGGAGTTAAAATGACTGTCATTCACAGTGTGGCCTTGTGCTTATTCGTTTCGATGTGCGTCTCCGTCGGCGAGTCGCACAGAATTTTAGCGGTTTTTCCCGTTAATGTGAAAAGCCACAACATAATGTTCGACGCTCTGATGAAAGGACTCGTCAAACGCGGACATGTTGTTGATACAATAACGCAGTACCCTTTGAAAAATCCACCTCCGAATTACAAAGTTGTCGTGGATCTTAGTGGGACTTCGCCGAACACCGTTAACAATTTTTCCATGGCTTTTGTCAACCAGTTCTTAAAAACTGGAGGTACTCATAGCCTTGCTCATGTTTTGGGCAACACGGTGTGCAATCTTCTGGGATTAGAAGTGATGCAGACATTTATAAGGAATCTGTCCAAAGATGTGACTCATTACGACCTTGTTTTAACTGAGGTAGTTATGCCCAAATGGTATCTAGAATTGGCAAAGCAAAAGAGTTTCTGTACCGAATGAGCTTATGCGTGTATGTAGAGATTGAGTGGTGTCTAAATATAAGCAAGTACATGATTGTCAAGTTCATTTCCACACATCTCACATGTCAATGTCACGCTTAGTTGTACACGTGTCGAACGAGGAAAAATGCACACGCAACGTTATATGCATAATAAAAAAACTATTAGCTCATGATAGAGATTTCCTGTTTTTATTGTCAAGTATGCTTTTTTTCCTCGTTAAATTTTTAAACTATGGAAATTTGATAAAGTATTTTTAACAAAAATACTTGAACTAATTACATTTAAAATTATTGAAAAGCCAAAGGTACAAAAACGCAATTAACATTATCCTTAAAAAATCTTAATGTTTGGAAATTAATCACCATGAGTTTAAGGCATTTGCAGCTCACTGTTACATGGGTTTCGGACACCTGCTTAAAGTACCCGTAGTTGCTGTTTCCTCAGCTATCGAATATCCATGGATCACCAACTTTATAGGGAACAACGATAATCCTTCTTTCGTGCCTGGGCCCGATCTATTTGTTTTTAAAGACCTAAATTTTTGGCAGCGATTGCAAAATATCTACTATTACTACGCAGATAATTATAGATTCAACAGCATTACCGAAAAAGTGCAGACGGACTTAATGAGGAAATATCTAAGTCCAGATATTCCAAGTGTACGAGAGATCGAAAAAAGTGTTGCTCTGTTGCTAGTCAATTCTCATCCAGTAATATTTGGCGTTAAGCCTGTAACGCCTGGGCTTGTACAAGTCGGTGGCTTGCACATAGAAGAGAAAGATGAATCAAAATTATCACTTGTATGTATAACAAATTTGATAATGAATATTTTCATCATATACTAAAAAATTATGTTGGCCTTAATTTTGGCTATATTTTTGTTGGTCTTTTTGTTAGCAAATCACATAAAAATAAGTTTAATGCTATAGATGGTAAAAAAATAATACCAATGGCAATAATATTAATAATAGTAACGAAAATAATAATTCAAATGTCAATAATTATGATGATACACAATTAAATAAGTTGTTTGATGTATAATGAACCAGCTAGATAACTCTTTTTATAAATAAATGTAGCAAATGTAACTTAAATCAATATTCACTTTGTACATGTATAAAGTGATAAATNTTACAAAGTAAGGTGAAGCGATCAATCATAATGATGTACGTGAGGCAGCAGTCACGACTCTCTCTCTCTCTCTCTCTCTCTCTCTCTCTTTCTCTCTGGGGTGATTATATACGTCCTGGAAGAGCGGCAGCCTTCCCTCGCTCCTTCGCTTTTCTCGATGATACACAATAGATAATAGCCATAATGATATTTTGAACTTGAACTTTATATACATTTTTATCAAGCAATATTTTTCCTCATTATTAAAAATAATGCAGTACTCGTAACAAACTTTATTGGTACATTTTTCGCTGGGGTTCAATGTTTCTAGCCAGCTTATAATTATAATTTTATAAGTCACATTTATTTTGATGTGCTTAGTAATGCGATGGGAGATTGTTTGAGCTAATCTGCTGATGATCGAAAGATAGTCCCCATCGAGTTTTTGAGAAAAAGAGCTCTCCTAGCTCACAGCTACTCGGTCTCTAGAAAATATTAAGTAGTCGTATTGCTTACTGTTTGTTTAACAGGAATTGAAAAAATGGTTGGATGAAAGCACGGATGGAGTAATTTATTTTTCATTTGGATCTATGGTTCTTATTGAGACACTTCCAGTAGACACACTCAAATCCATGTATGAGACTTTTTCTAAGCTAGCTCCAGTTCGAGTGTTGATGAGAATTGCCAATGAAAAAAAGCTACCACCAGGATTGCCGTCAAATGTCTTAATTAAACAGTGGATTCCTCAACAAGATGTTCTTGGTAATTGTATTTGGCACAATTAAAATATACGGATGAACTGTTTGTAAATCACAAATTTTCTTTCGACTTTCGGTCCACTTTTAGCTCATCCTAATATTAAAGTATTTGTGACCCATGGAGGGTTAATGGGAACCCAAGAAGCATTGTACCATGGAGTACCTATGGTCGGGATTCCATTGTTTAGTGATCAGCCGCGTAACGTAGCATCATTTGTTGATAAAAATATGGCGATTATGCTTGGCTTGGACGACCTAAAGACTGACATTTTTAGTAAAGCCTTAAATGCAATATTAACCGATCCTAAGTACAGGTATGTTAGGGTGAAAGAAATGTTGTTGGGTTTCGAGGATTTTAACAGCATTGATTTTCTTTTTAGAGAAAACGCTAAGTATTACTCGAAGTTGTTCAAGGACAGACCGATGAGTGCAATGGACACTGCAATCTTTTGGATAGAGTACGTCATTCGAAATGGTCCAAATACTTTAAAATCGCCTGCACTTAAGTTGTCATGGTGGCAGTTGACTCTTGTCGACATTTTTGGATTTATATTGTTGAATCTCATTTTTGGATGTTTATGTATATTTTACGTACTTAAGCTCCTACTGCAAAAGTCAAAGAGTGCAAGTGATAAAGTTAAAAAGCAGTGAAAGTAGTTTAAAGCTTTTAAGTTGGTTTGTCCTCTGCATCAATTAAAATTTCATGTAATTTTATTATCACTCTTGTTATAAAAATAATTAATGAATTTCATTTTATAACTACGGTAAAAAAGATGGAACAAAAGATTTATCAAAGATGAATATGTTGACATATATTCCATAAAACTGCGTTGGTCCGTCTTTGTCGTACAATGCTGTCTACCTTACTTATTTTGCTACACCAGATACCTACGTGGTCAAACAGCACTCGATGCTATTTTGTATAAGATACTTTTCACCAAGTGAAAGTTGTGGTCTGAAAAAAAGTTTACCTTCAACCATTATACCTTACGTTCTTTATTTCTGTCATCATTTGTCATTTTGAAATGCTACGCTGTGATAATTAAACTTTGTAATAGGAGCAGTAACACAAACAGAAAAATTTTTTTAATTCATAACAACTACTTTTAACTTTAGAAAAAACTATTTGTGTTATAAAAATGTCAAATTTATCATGTATGTATTAAACACAAATACTGTACATAAATAAGTATAGTTTTTATATTTAATACAGCTTTGATAAAAATCTTTGATAATTATGTCTATGATCTTTAAGTATTGTAACTATGTTCATTGTAATACAAAATAATTCAGTGCAAAAAAAATAGTATCACTTATCAATATAACGTATTTCAAGAGTATTTTGATAAGGTATCTTTCATAAAAAATATCAGATTTTTTCTCATCACGATTAGTTTAAGCTGTAATACTGGGGGACTATGTTTCCAATTAAAATTGGACACACTTTAAACTTCGAAAGTAAAACCCTCAGCTCCCAACACTCATGAACTTCCAGTCAAAGAAGTCCGTATACATCTACGTTCAACAATTGGAAACCTGCAAGATCGACGTGACTTTGTCCCGATCTGGATCGCTGATCAAATTCATGATACCTGCACGTGCACAAACACGTCAGTACGAAAGACAGAAAGTGCACGAAAGTAAAAGAGAAGCAAGGAAAGGTGAAAAAAGTCGAGGCCCGCGCGCTTTCAGACTCCACCCCTCCCCTAAATCACTCATTCTTTAATAATAGACGGATCCCATAATAATACCCAAGATTTATACCAGCCATGGGTCCCCCCTTTTTTTAAACCATAAATTCCACCCCTCTTTTCCATTGTTTCTCTCTCTCTCTCTCTCTCTCGCTCTCTCTGAGTTTTTTTTCAATTTTGCTCTTTATCTGGCCAATGGCTTCTCCATTAAGCACTACACGTTTATTTATCTCCGTCAGTCTTATGGTCTTAGCTTCTTGTTCATCTAATACAACGCCAATGACCGATACCACCCTAACGAGAAGATGCAGCAATTTTTCGTTGGGATCGACAAACTCACGCTCTCCATGCTTATTCGAGAAAAAGCAAAGCGTCGTAGCATCAATATCCTCGGCAGCTCCCCCCTTCGTGTACCACACACGCGTATCTGTCACTCGATTTGCAGAATCCAAAGCCTTAAATAATAAATCCAATGGACGCTCTCGTGCTCTGAATCGGCTTTTTCAATCTCACCGCGCCAGAGATACCCCCGGAGGATTTACAAGTCATCTCAAAGGACCCACGTGCACATGTATGCACAGATATGCACGCGTGCAACGGCAAAGGCGCGCCCTTCGATGAATTATGATATCAAGTACATGCAGCATCAACGGGCAGTCGTCGTCGTCGACGTCTTTTGAAAACCCCGAAGGAAAAGAGACGATGGAAGCGGCGTCTCGGTAACCGGACCTATAAATATACCGCCGCGAGCCGACAAATGTATGAATCCGAGGCTTTTTCCCATAGGGAGACGGGGCGCGCATTTTGACGTGACCGATGGCCCCGACGAGGGGCGTTGGACCCCCATTGCCCCTCGTTTCTACTTTCTATTTATTGCCGAATTAAACCGCGTCGCCGTTAATTTGCATGTGCACCGCACGCGCGCGTGTGTGCGCAATAAGCAAGTCGTTCCTCTGCGGTGCTTATACGTAGCCTTCACAGAGTGACGTTGAATAGCCAATGCGTTTGTACGACTGCAATGTTACCGTAGACATACATTTTAAGATTTTGAATTTTTTTATCACCCCCCCCCCCCCAGTTCTGATTTCGCACGAGTTCTGCTAGGATTTATCCAGTTGGCGAGTACTTGCGATGATAAATACTACACGAGCGGCGTAAAAACGAAGGACGCGCGCGAATCGATAAATAAAGGCGTTCACGGGGTGGAAAATAATTATCATTCAGCCGGCTTAGTCGTACCCGGGTGATTTAACGCTAATGGCGATTTCAGCGAATTTTTCACCTCCGAGGCAGCCAAAATGCTTTATTGGTCTGTCAATCGACAGTTGGTGTGCGTGTATGTATGGATGAACAAACGGATGACGAGCTGCGGGGGGATGTTTCGAAATACCGAATGGGTTGTGACGCGCCGGTCATACAGAGGGTATACTGGAGCGAGAGAGATAGAGGCTGCGGGTTTGGCTTCGAGGGACGCGTGTATAGGTGTACGCGAGCGAGAGAGAATGCGTTTGATTTATGCGACGCGACGGATTTTTATTGTAAGGTATATGTATACACGTGTGCGAGCTCTCGGCCTTTTGATGAATTTCCGAGTGATTTTCCGCTACATATGGCTCCCACCCCTTACCTTTGGCGTTTTGTGTCGCGAGATTATATGCAAAACTTGTGTCCTCGCCCTCTTTTCCCCCCTTATTCCTCGTCCAAGTTATTATGTGTGTACACACGTGGTTGTCGTTCTAACCGATATTCGATGGTTCTCCCTTTTTTTTCCATTCCCGTCTCGATCAGGACCCGCAATGTGGTGATGATTGGCTTTTATGTTGCTGCTGTTGAGTTGGAAAAAAAAAATTTTTTTTTCTTTCTCCGATCGCGAGCGAATTAAACGTCACGGGTCGTAAATTTGATGCGAGGGAGAACACGACTGATGCGCATTTGAGCTGTACACTTTTTTTCAAATTGTATTTTTCGTACTCAGATGTCGTGAAAAGTGATTTACGTGTGCTACACTGTATCGAATTTTCGGTAGGGAAGAAAAAAAAACTTTTTTCTTGGTGGGTTGCTTTTTCTAAAGAGAAAATTGATTTGTTCATCGTTTCATGGTCTACTTAAAAAAAAGTAACTGAATTTTTTTGAATGCTGAGGTTTTTCATATAATTTATAATTGTTGCACATTTTTTTGGTGCACTATCTATGTATTAAGTATTCGTGTAAGGGAAAAACTATAAAAATCTACATATAGACTTTAAAGATACCCAAAAATTGTGATGATGTTAAAGTGCCTTCAAAATTTTCCAAAGACTCCAAAAGTCTTGTAATGACTTTTAAATCATTTACAGTCCTATTTGGTATTTGAGAGTCTCTACAATTTTACAATAAAAGTATACGAAAAAATTTTTTAAATGTCTAAGAATTTCGACGATTTTAAATATCTACTCAAAGATGTCTAAGTCATCAAAGAACTTTCATGACTTTAAAGCCTCTCAAAGTCCTCCAAAGACTAAGAAAGTTTCGACAAGATATCAGATTTAATATATAAAAATTGTATACCCGTATGGCCACTAATGTCCAAATCACTCGTCATTTGTCACAGTAAACTACAGCAAACCCAATGTGGAGACGTACACCCAGAGAAACAAACCACGTTGCGGATACACAGGAGCGAACCGAGCTCGCGATCATTAGGGCCGCAAATCGGGCGCTACTTCATCTCGACGCCCTCCTTCTGCAAGACAAGCTCCATGTATACACACCCCACGCCTCCAAGAGGCACAGTAGTCGGCCTCGGAGAGTATATCTCGATTGTAAGCTCGTGCTACATCTTCCGTGTGTATATATATATATATATATATATATATATAGATTGTACACGCGTATCCTTATCTCCGTTCGAGCACCTCCAGTGGGTACGTGTACACGCGTATTAACGAGAGACAATTTACGCCTCTCTCCCCACTAGAAAATCGAAAATTCCTACACTGTGAATGCGTGTACCAATGACGCGCATAAACACACATACAGCGAACGAGGAAAAAGAAAAGGATGAAAATAAAAGAGACGGAGAGCAAGAGAGGAGGAAAGAAAGTCGTGTACATAATATCGACCAGTTGAGATAGCTGCTTTTCGCCCAGAGCAGGATATCCCTACGAAAGTGTGCGAGTGTGTCCGTGTGTGTTACAACGGAGGACTTGCCTAGCGATCCGCGCCATAAATTAGCAATTATTTAATTTTCGTCGGAAAGAGAGGGAGAGCCCCGGGTCCTTAGACGGCTCTAAATCAGTCTCCGGGCGCGCGCAAAAAGCATAGATAACTATGACGCATGGCCGCGGGAAAGCGAGAGACGTTCTCGCGCCCTCCCCCCATCTCCCCTTCTCGTATCTCTCTCTCTCTCTCTCTCTCTTCCTGAACGTGTGTGTTTACCCGTTCGCCCCTTCTCTTTCTGCGTCCCTCGTGGAGCCGCTCAAACATGGGGTACGGCAAAGGTGTATCTCTACGTGTTTACTTGTGTTCATGCATTTGATGAATGTCGAGGTGACTTTTCTTGGCTCGACGCTTCTCCGTGGATCGCGCCTTGGCTTGGCCCTGGCATTACGCTCGGGTGGAAGAAACGAGTTGACGGTCCGGCTGTTGCAAATGGGGTTGGGTACTTTTATTTTTTTATTTTTTACGTAGAGTCATTTACAAGCATTGATCGTTCGAAATTGGGGAAAAATCAAGATGCACGCTACAGATAGAGGTAAAAGTGTAATTGAAAATTGAGGTCCGAATGGGCCGTGATTTATGGAAGGAATTCCTTTCCCGTACCCCTTTCTCTCCCGCGTGGGTGGAATAAATCAGATTAATGCGTTGAGTCAAGGGCCACCGCGAAAAGGACGAAAATTAAGTGTCAAAGCAGCGACAAACGAACGGCCAGTGTGTGCTTCGATTGTCACGTCCATTTGTGTATACGCGGTGATTGGTGTTTGCAGGTATGTATGCAGTGCTTGGGGGGTAACGGCGCATCATTGATTATTAGTATTCAAAAGTTCGAGTTTTTTGAGCTAAAAGATAATAGAAATCCACCAGACGGATTAACAAATTCAATTGTGCAAGCAAACATTCCAACTCCACCTCGGTGTAACGGTGGGCGTATCAAAGCATCGTATAGCACCCTTGAGCAGGCCATTTCCTCGTCCACACACATATGTACGTGTATATCTTCCTCTCTCGGAAAAAGCAACAGCTCCGAGCGAGATGGGGAACGAAAGGACGACCAAAGGACGACGACGACAACGTTGAGGCGTGCGGTGGCGAGCTGGAGGCAAGGCAGTAGCAGCAGCATTGCAGGGCACAATGGCAACTAGTTTTAATTACAAAGTAAGGTGAAGCGATCAATCATAATGATGTACGTGAGGCAGCAGTCACGACTCTCTCTCTCTCTCTCTCTCTCTCTCTCTCTTTCTCTCTGGGGTGATTATATACGTCCTGGAAGAGCGGCAGCCTTCCCTCGCTCCTTCGCTTTTCTCTCTTCCCTTTTTCGTCTCTCTCGTATATGCGCGAGAGGGGGAAGGGTGCCTCGTACACTTTGCGTATAATTTACTGGCGCTCCGCGATATATACCTGAAGTTATGC